TAGTATTTACCTTCCCTTCTGGGTGTTTATGGATGGACCTCGGAGTTTTTGGTGCCTCTTCTGCTTTGGGAATTCTCTGTTTTGACTTGGGAGTCAGAGGCTCCTAAAAACAACAAAGAAGCTTCTTCAACAGAGAGAAGGGAATTTTAACAACATGCTGATTTAATTTGTTTTGGACTCATTTTTTTTCCAGTAAATTCAGCCCTCACACATTCAAACCCTGACATTATTTTCTTTGATCATTCTCTTTTCATATTCACCTTAAATCAAATGTTTGGTTAATTCCTTATCCAAAGCATGTGGTTCTAAAATTTAAGAGTTTGAAGTTCATCTTTTTATTAGTAGTACAACCTGTTGACCCCTCAAACTTTACCAATATGATTTCATGTGGTTCAAGGTTCCTCTGGCTTGCACCAAGTGATTACACATTAGAGATGTGTCTTATGGTTCTTCAAATTAGAAGTTTAGAAGTATATTAGAGACGACAGTAACTTAATCCAGTCCTACGCCTTTTTTTAGTGCTTGCTCTTTATGCGTGACCAATCTAGTGCATATACAGGTAAGTATTGTAGGTACAGGTATTATCGCCTGTTTTCTATTAGCAGGACTCTCAAATGATTGTCAGCTTCGTAAAAGTCAAAAATGGATTAAAATTAAAGAAAAGTTAAAGATTTCTGTTATCAATCTTTGTTTGTTTACGAAGCTAACATTTCTTGATGACTGATGTTTGGTCGATTGCCAGGCGAATAAACCTGGGAGTGCGCGCACAATAATTTGCAGTATGACGTCACAGAGGCGGGCGGGAAACTCAAAAAAGTCACAAACTTGGATACTGTTTTTCATTGTGAAAGAACTTGTTTTGGACAAAACTGGGTGTTCCGATGAATTTCTCGTCTAATTTTACCTTGATATCGATGATTCTTAGCTTGATTCCTAACGGCGTCTACTAGCCCATTCACATTTGCATTGATAACAGGTATGTGTTGGTTGGAAGTCTTATGGAATGAAAAAAATGTATACATCGAGGACTCACCTGCTTGTCAAGGGTTAAATTTTCATCCTGTGACTCTAATCTCCTCTTCGTTCTAGAGCTACATCTCAGAGTTATCTCCGCCTCTTTGGGAGAGTCTTGAGCTTTAAATTCAGCGGTAGAATCTAATCGACGTTTGATTCTTGAGTTTGACTTTGAGGTAGATAAAGGTTTCGGTGGATAGTCTTCTGTCTCTGAATCTTCAACAATCGTTTCTAGATCTTCATCAACCCTGCCCAAGCTAAGTATGAGCTCCTTGTCAGTCAGACGCTCATTGGGGGTTTGTTTTGGTGTCAGTACTTTCTACATAAAAAAGAAAAAAACTGATTATTAATATCTACTTTGTCATCCAAGAATCTTAAGCAGTTAGCACTACTGTTCAAGTTAAGCGAATTGTTGTTAGAATTGAAAGCAGGTTTTGATCTAGCTTTCAAAATGGACCAGTTTGGACAAATCTAAACTGGCCTACAAATTGAAGAAACTTGGGAGTTCACGCGGTAGGTACTATAGAAAGCAAATCTGTAAGAAAATTCACATTTTGAGTCAATGCTTTTTGTGTAATTTAGACATGGCTGGCAAAGTAAAATATTTTTGGCTTTAGTTTGCTTTTACCTACTGCTCAGCTGAGAAAAGATTAGAATGGGCCTGTTGCAAACTTTTGCTAGAGTAAAAATAAGAGTTGTTTCTTATAGACAA